AAAAAAAAAATAAATAAATAATTCAGCGACGTGATATTGCTCTCAGTTAGTTCTCCATGAATTTGGTCATTTATTTAAATAAAATATACATAAAAATAATGATAATCTCTTATTGTGTGTCATTTAAATTATTTTAAATTAATTAACACAATTATAAATTAATAATAGATATGTCAAACGCAAGATATGAGCTCGAAAGGCTCAAAAGCATAGAACAGTTACCTCTTTCAGCTCAGAAAGCTGAAAATAACACATAAATTGTAATTTGGAGTTTGAAGAGCTCAACAACAGTATAAGTGCAATTTTAAACGCTTAGGTATGGAATTAGCGAGAAGTTGCAGGGATCTCCTTCATTTTATTTTACAATCAGGAAGTGTTCACAGTTGGAGGTGAATATTTCTGTGACATGTGGCTAATGTTTATTTATTTTAATTCAAAATAAGTGACTGAAATCAGGGAGAGTTAATCGTAGGCAATATCACTGTGCTGAATTTTTTATTTTTTTATCATAATGGCAGTACTTTTATCTCGGATTGAAAAACTGGCCCTTAATATTATACAAAGACACAATAAACTGTATAGTATGGCTAACTTAGTCACACACATTTACTTACACATTCACACGTGCAAACGGCTTCGTTTGAAACGCACTTTACTGGACACTGGCGCTCTTTCTCTCTTTCTCTCTCTAACACATAGAAGGACGGTATTATTTTAATTAATAATTAATTATCTATGCGTCAGATTAAAAAGTGGCCAAGGACTTTTCGTTTCAGAATTTTTTTTTCTATCAGATGCTACAATGGTGTCCGTTACTTCTGGGACAACCTGTATACTAATGAAACTAAGAATAAAAAAGTAAAACTTATTATATAATTTTTTTTTTTTTTTTAGAGTTGAGGCTAATAATTAATATCAGATAAGCTTCTCAGGAGAGTAAAGAAAATAGTTTTTATTTTATAACACCTCAGACTCGATTTCTAAGGAGGATTCTCTTCTAAGGAGAAGATTCAGTGATCATGCGCTCACCGTCAGAGATTTTTAACACTAAAATCGGTCGAAAAGCTATAAAAAGGCAAATTGAAAAATTTTTTTACGATAAGAAGCTTATGAGACATTGGTTATTACTTTAATCAATTACCACAGCAATTTTTGTTTAATAATAAATTTCAACTGACAAAAAAATTTCTATGTAGAAAAAATATGAAATTGAACGTTTATAATGAATTTTTCTTTATTCACATTTGTAATCTTATATGTTTAAAAAATAATTGACTACTGCCAAAAAATGTAAAAATAAAAAAAAGTAAACTAACCTGTCTGTCATTGACGTACCACGTCAAATTAGCAGCAGGTTTACTTCTTCCTAAAGTACAATTAACCCTAAGTGTATCGTCAATCCTGTACTTTCTCCTCAGTCCATGTATTTCAGGTCTCTGAGTGGGTAATTCTGTAACAAAATAAACCACTAAATAGGTAACAACCCGGTGTACACCAGGAAATAATGTTCCTGCATTTAAAAGAGCTTATGTTATTTTAAAAATGCATCCGGACAAACAGAAACCAACTACAATACGAAATAAAATAAAATAAACAAAATAAAATGAAATAAAAAATAGAATACAGCGTACATCATAGTAACTATTACCGGAGCGTAACGTGTAAAGGAAATGAAGTTTATACCGGCATAAATAAATAACCAACAACGTAATGACGGTGTATTTAAGTTTGTTTAGACTTTAGCAGCATCATCAAGGCAATCTTTCCCCATCTCCCCATCTCGAGTCGGTATCTGTGCTAGGACTAGCAGCTTAGTACAGAGTGTAGTCTAGGGAGGATACAATAGGATAGGACGAGATGAGTGTTCCCTGCGGATCAATTATAAACGAACAACCCGACGATAAACTCGCCACAAAGCTAATCACATTTCCGTACTCATCAATCTCCGTTTCGCCGCATTACCAATGTACGTGGCAAGTGGTGGTTGCGGTGTGTGTACACACATCAACCCCTTCGAAAATCCCGCATAATAACATTTTACCGTTCATTAATTACAACTTCAGGTTGCCCAGGAGGTGGTGCACCTAGAGCGTTTCATTAATTAGGCACTACTGTATTATACTGCACTACACTATACTGTGCTATATCATATACCTACGGTATTTTCATTAATTAATTACACCGTCAGATGCCCGTTTTTTTAGAATGCCTTTGAGCTCTCAACCATGATACCCGTTTACATTTATTCACCGAGATTAAAAAAAAATATATAGTCTTTATTTATTTTATTTGACATATTTTTAACTATTAACATTTTTATTATTTTTGCTCGCGAGGAATTTTTTGTTATTTACACCAGATTCAGAACTTCTTTATTGTTTTCCGTAGGTTTATTATTATTATTTTTATTTTTGTTTATATTTATAACCGGAATTGTTTGTTTTTAAATACCTTCCCTTTATTTCAAAATGCAAGATGTAGTACATATATAAATATGAATATTTAATATTTTTAATTCTTTACTCACCAGCGACATTCATTGTCGCGTATACAATGGCGGTGTGAAAGGATGGTGCGTCAGCCGATACCTCACAGCTGTATTCACCAGCAGCGTCGAGCTCCAGATTCTCCAGAGTGACCTGTGTCGCATTGCTCTCGGTCTTCTGTTAACACAACGTAACATAATGCACAACAGCACTACCTATTATCCATACTTGACAATGTATTACATTTATATTATATTATGGACGGGCTTGTTTGTTCCCGAGATATTAGATACATCTAACATCTATACTGTGTATTATATTGCTTATTATATTAGGCTTCAGGACACTCGATATATCCTACGTCGGACCAATAACAATATGTATTTATGCCTGATTTAATATTTATTTTCTTTATTAGAAAAACCTAGTAGTTTTTATTATTAGTGTTAAAAAATAATTTGAATTATATATTGAGCATAAGAACGAAGCGATCGATCTATTGAATTAATAAAAAATCCAGTGAAGTGCAGTTGCTTAGTTTGGAATATCAAAAGCCGCAGTCGAGATTATAAGCCACAATAGACATATGATTCTCCAAATGCATTATCAATGATAATGTCAATGACATTAAACTAAAAATAGAAGAATGGACAAGAGAGACGATCAAAATAGAGGAGAGGATATGGAATAAGAAAAAAGAAGAACGATTAGACCATACTTCTTTATAAAGAAGCATTTAATAAAATTTTTGGACAATTAGAACCATCGAGATTTTGATTATTTACTAGAATTTTTAACGGCGCGCATTCGCGCGCCCCCTATCGAAATTCTCGAATGAATTTATCCTGTTCGATTTATATCGATATATTGATATGTTCACGTACCAGGAGATTGACCAATAGTAACTGAGGAGGGTTTATATTCTACCAATAAGAAATCAGGTCTCATTTTTTCGACTATTGACTAACTTCAAACTGTCATGTATTTTTATTGTAGGGATTTTTTCTCTAGAATTGGATTAAAGAAAATTAGATGAAAAAGAGGCTCACGTTATTCAAATAGACCAAATTACGATTATTTTTGTTAATAACTACACGAAAAAAAGTAAACTGTAATATTCACACGGATTCCGGTTAATTATTACACCGGACATCGGGGTGGCAAAAACATAAATATTACAGAACTTAATGTAGAAAGTGTAAAAGCCACAATTTATAAGTTAATATCCAAAGTAAGTGATTAGTAGCTGTCACTATACTAAACAACGACTCTTTCATCTTAAAAAATTACAGTTTCAAACAGTAAAAATTGTCATTTCAATATATAGTCCATATTATGAGCAGGAGAAGGGGAACTCAGATGAAAGAGAAGGGGGTCTTACTCTGAGAGAATTTAACATTTGAAACAGTAAAAATTATATTTTTAAAATATACATTTTACCAGTCCAAGCAAGTCAATAATTACAGTTTGATTTTTAGCGTTGCGTTTAAAATTTATCATTTTACTTTGTAAATATTGACGTTGCTTGTATTAGAAATTTACTAACTTTATTTTATACTTTTTACACATCATAAGATCATTTTTTAGGTACGAAATGATCAATATCAAAGTCTGAATTCTTAATTATTATACTTAAACATTTTAGACATTTACACAGCGAATATTACTGTTTGAAATAGTATTTTCTTCCATGTAAAGAGTAAATTGTAACGTTTAAATGGTAAATATTATAAAGTGAATAGTAAAATCACGATTTTACTGTTTGAAAGGTAATTTTTAGCAGTTGATCATCACTTATTATAAATTGACTGTTATTTATTACAGTTTTCTTTTTTCCGTATAAAAATGCTTTTTCTTAAATGATTTCTTCTCTATCAAGCTCCCTATAATTCTCTATATAATTACCATTATTTTTGAGAACTGTAGGTAGTCGGGATACCCAGGTTTTACTGTACTAGCAACTTGCAGTTACTGCGTGACTGTTGAAAATTACAAATTATAAATAAAAGAACTCTGGGTTCATGATTTTTTGATATTTTTAATCAGAATTAACATAAACTGATAAAAGAATTTGTTTGTGAGTAAAAAATTGATTTTTTTAAATCTTTTTACGTGACTTTTATTGAATGAAAAATATGAACAATGATTAAAAATATTTATTATAGTGAAATGAGTTACTTTTGCATCTTACATAAATATTTTTAATGCAAACAAAACTTTTTTATGTTAAAAGAAATATTTCGCGTTCCAAATGTCAAAAGAGCGTATAAGAGATTTTTTGCCAATCACTTTGCAAACATATTCTAACCCTAAAAATGAAAAAAAAAATTCCAAAGCCAAAAGAGCGTAAGTCGCAAATTATACGCCCTTTTGGCTTTAGGAATTTAAAAATTTTTGTGATCCAAAGCTAAAAGGGTATTTATATTTTTCGTGCCATCTCAGTTTGCATTAATCCGTTGTGTACTTTCGCTCTACAGTTGATTTTCATATCCTTCAGTATTTGTGTTTGATCTATCTTTATTTGTAGAGCTGTTTAAAACCCTGATAAAAAGCTGTTTTATCAAATAAATACGCCAGAGACCAAATTTTCTTTATTTTCTTATTTATATAATATATACATGAGAATGTTTGACTCTTGCACTGTCTTACTAAAGTAAGTTTATACTACTTGCGTTGTAGAATTTGTCGTAATAAATCGGGAAGTACACAATATTGTTTAAACTTTGTGGATTCTGATGTGAGTTATTGTTTCTTAAATTTACCTGAAAAATTAACTACTGTGAGAGACAGAATTGGTTAACTAAGTTTGTTTAAAATAGACTATTTCTGATAAGAGTGCATACTTGTTATTCAATAACTTTTTATTTTTAATTCTGTTTTTAAAATAAAAGTCAGGTGTAACTTTTTTAGAAGCTGACCTATTTAATAGTCAATAATTCACTTAAAAATTCGTATACTAAAATATTAAAAGACCAAAAAAATTAACTTGAATAAAATTCTTAAACAAAGACCATCATTTTGAAGAATTTCCTTATCTTATATCAAATAGGAAAAATTCTACTTGGATAGCATTTTTTTGATTTAACTAAATTTTTTTTCTTGAATGAATTTTTCTTTTTGAATGAAGACGAATAAAATCTTCAAAATATTATTCTTGGTTCAAATTGTTTTTCCTAAATCAAACTATTTTTTATCGATGGATTCTTATAAAAAATTACGTATAAGGTAAAGTACCCAGTAGTTGAACAGGTTTCAAAGTAAAACGTATTTGACCCTACTTTTAATATATAAAGATGTAGTTATTAGTTCAAATTAGTGATTTTCATGGAAATATAAACAATTTTGAATTGATTGAAGCGCAAAATAACAAAAATAATTGAATATTTATCATTTGACAACGTTTTTAAGATAGACTATGGAAGGAGTAGTAGTTGAACAATCAATTCTGACAAGCCTTAGTAGTTGAACACTCCGGGAGCAGTAGTTAGAACTAATAAAATATAGGTATGGCAATAGGCACACCAAAAATTTTTAACGTTTTATTGAAATATTCAAAGATTTATAACATATTATTGAATAATATTAAAAATAATACTGTGGATATTTAATATGTTCATTTAAAAATGAGAAACATTTGTATTTGATTTTTTAATTACATTTTTTATGAATGACAAAGTAAATTTTCAATTATAAATCAAAAAAACTCAATTCAAAACGTTCAATAATTTTTAACTATACTAATTTTTAGTTATAAAACCTATTTAATTTGCAGTAATTAATACAAATCACAATACTGATCACTAGTCTACACGGGAAGAAAATTGAAGGAGTTATTACTATTTTACTATTGTAATTTTTACTAAATAAAAAAGTAACGGTGGACTATACTTCTCATTTAGTAATTTTTACGATCTACTATTGTAAATTTTATCCAACAAATAAGACTAGCAAGAGTTTTAAAAAGTCGTATACTATAGAGCAAATTATACAATATGTGTTTGTGAACTTTACAAATTCAACTATTGTAAAAATTCACAGTTGGTTTTTTTAAAAGAAATATTAGGGAGGGAGAGAGATAGAAGGTTGCACAAATTGGTACCTGTACAGTAATCGAAAAAAGAAACAAATATTTTCGTGCTATCTGGGAATCGAACCCAGAACTCTGTGTTGGTAGCCAGAGACTCTCCCTTTAGGCTATCCGCGGTAAACTAAGACTCATGTCCTTTAACATTTATGTAAAAACTCAGAGTCTAGCGCTGTGCACGGCCATCACTCACACTAATTGAGAGACATTCCAATTTAACTATTGTAAAATTTGCTATAGTTCTATTGGAAAGATACAGGGGCAGCACTGGAAATTTTCATCTCTTACTTTTTACAATAGTAATATCGTATTTTTTCATTAATAAATAGTATTTTTTCTTCTAAAATATTTGATAATTAATAGTAATAAAGGTATAGTCCAGCTTTACAATAGTTGTATCGTAAATTTTCCCAGAAATTTTTTCCCGTGTATAACGCTATTAAAGGTTAGAGTGCTGTTAAAATTATATGGTCCCAGTTTGTTCAAGTTCTGGGTACCGCTTTGAAAATTGGGAGGTATAGTTGAACGCTAAAATTTAATATAAAAATTATAGTTTATGTCTTTGCAAAAAATATGTATTATTTAGAAAAGACTATTTCATTGGGTGGTACAATTTTTTTCACTTAAAATGATGATATACCGTTTTTTTTACTGATTGTTCGGTTTACGGTTTAGTACCTTTTTCATGAAAAAAATAGCATCTATCAGTTATTCTCGACATGTCAACTTTAAAGTTAACAAAAATGTAATTGTTTTGATTTATAATTGAAAAAACTTACCAAAATCAATTACTGTATCATTGAATAATTATAACAACCGCATATTACTCATAATATATATATATACAGATTTTGTATTACAACAATTCTAAAAGTCTGTTCAACTACTGGTCCCATTTTTAGAAGTGTTCAAGTACTGGGTACTTTACCTTATATAAGAATAAAATTGACCTCCGATCCAATCTAAAATTTTTCATGATTGTTAACTTTTGATTAATATCTTATTGTCAACTATCTTATTTAGTTTTTGACGCTCGTTTGTTGAATGTTTATACCATTTATTACTGCTACAAATTTACCTGACAAAATTAAATCATTTAAATGAATCAAACTTAAAACTTGATATTATTTAATGAAATTCGCTCGTATATCTTTAATAAATATTTATTAAGGTTTTTGAAAAGCAGAGTATGAATAACAAAAGTTAATTTTTAAGTAAATTCATGAATAAATAATTTTATTATTATTATTATTATTATTATTATTATTATCATAAATTTTTTTATACCAAAAATACCTTTGCTTAATAATCGAATTAATTAATTAAGTTAAAAAAATCTATATTAGACCGGTCAATGTACTCCCAATGATATCTGACGGCTTATCAGACGGCTTAGGATAATACCCCTTACGTCTCCATTCTTGTTCTTGTTATGTTATATATACATATGCATTAATACGTTATATGTACCTTGTGTATAGATATAATATGAACCGGTACTTAAGGCTATTCAATGTCGTCACGCAACTACCCCCGTTGTGTGCACTTTGGCCTATACTACTTGTGTATGCCACGGGATCGAGAATAATATACCTGCCCGAAGACGCGTGTATTAACCCTCTCATACTCCGAGGTAAGTTATCAATGATTACATCCGACCATTTATTTAATTAAAATTTTTTTGGTTTCAGTAATTTCAGCAATTTTATTGATAAAATTCTAGTTTGTATATTACTTTAATATTCAGGTAAATATGTACATAAATAAAATATTATTAAAAAGAAAATAATTGAATTAAAAAAAAAACGAATGATTTTAAAAATTATAACTCATCTGAATTTTTTAAATTTTATACTGCTGATGT